CTGGAGCAACGACAGGCATCAGCATGTTTATTTCTCTTCAGAAGACACTGCTCGAACCTGGTTCAAATTCAAGAGTGACACCTCGCAAGGTGGGGTGTTTTTCGAGCCAGGTTACTTGCCACGTTCACAAGTGTAGTCGCAAGGAGAAGGCTGAAGCTTTCCTAGCAACTCACATGCATTTGCCAAACGAGAACGTGGCGCTCCTCATGGAAGAGATGGCCAAGCTCTTCCGTCACGCTGACCCCGAAATGCCCGAGGACCGGAAAGTCCGCCTCCTCATGCCAAGAGTTAAGCAGGAGCTTTTTGTGGTACTAATGTGAAACCTTTAGAACAACATCCAAGAATCTCTCAGAAGTGAAAGCTATCGCAAAGAACTTTGAAATGAGCACATGACCTTTCAACTGCCGTGCGACGCCAGGCTGTGCAGAGATCCAGCCACTCTGCTCCAACGATCTGCGTCAAACCATAAGAGCCGTAGTGTGCGAAGAACTTCGCCGAATGTTCCCGTGGTGTCAGCCTCCAGTTCCACCAATCGCAGAAGTTGCCAGAGAAGAAATTCAATAATCCCTGGGGATCTACGAGTCAGCGCAGCCGCAACCGCGAGCCATGAGATAGGTTGCTGCTGCCCGACGCTGCGCTCGACCCCCCCGTACAATCAACAGGCCGTGCCGTCGCACTGTCGTCACCAGACACTACCGCCACTACTACCAACGACATATCATCCACCTGCTTTTCTGCGCTACGTACCGAGGAAGAACGACGTTTGGCACGCCCCTGACAACCGCCTACACTGCTACCATTGTGGGGAAGCTGTACCCACATACCGCAGCTGCCAGTACCACCAAAATGGTCTACGCAAATTCACCGTCAGCTCACCGCCCCCAGACCAAAGCAAGCGATTCCGCGACATCGCTGGCTACCTAGCCACCACAGAACGAGCACCTCGACGTTGCTTCCGTTCACTACGAACTGCATCTTACCTGTCCCTTCACCAACTCCAGCAGTACAGCTGTCGTGCCTAAAGTCGTTTCATGTGTGTTAAAGCACTGCAAACGTGTATTTTCTTTTTAGGGGCGAAGCTCCTTATGTTGTGGCTATGTCCATCCTCTGATGGCGTATGTAGCCACCGGTGGCACATACCCGAAATAGCGATCTTTAGTATGTCCGCTGGATAACGGCACTTGTATATGATAAGTACATGATGAAAAGATGTGAGATTGCTGTGCTTGGAGTGTTCACTGGATAAACGGATGGACATTCAGATAGACGGACGGACAGATGGACGCACAGACAGGCAGAGGGGCGGAAGCACATATGAACGGACGGACGGACGGACAGACAGACAGACAGACAAACAGACAGAAGGACGGCCGCACGTACAGTCACACGCACGGACGGAAGGGTGGACAGACAGAAGAACGGACATATGGACGGACGCATGGACGGACGCATGGAGAGACGCACGGAAGGACGGATGCGCCCATGTTCACAAGGATGGACGGACGCATGGACGGATGCACGGACGGATGCCCGGATGGACGTGTGGACGGACGGAAGCAACAACAAATGGGTGGATGAAAGCACGGACGGACTGGCGAACGCTTCGCCCCACCAATTATCATTCACTCCGTGGATATGCTGTGATTTTTGTTGTTATAGCTGAATCTTAATTTATTGCACGTATTTTCTTGCTTAGTAATGTACTATCGGCGTCCATTGAAACCCGAACAGCGGAGCGCGTGTTTCAAGCATTAGAAACAGTATAGTGTTGGCCATCCAGCCATTACCATTGACAGGCGTGCACATCCGGTTCGGCAGCACTGCGCTATCCACCTAGAAGGCGTTATCTCCGTTTCTTCTCGAGTTTTGGTAGGGTGACAATGGTGGAAATTGTGGACGTGCCTGAGCACTTTTGGTCATATCACTCGCAATTCCTTGCTTTTACTGCAGCGTCGCAGTGCAATCAGTGTCCTGGCACGTTAAATAAGAAGAGAAACATAATCGGTTTGCGGTTGATTTTCAAACGATTGTCGTATCTCGTTCGCCAGCGCTGCTTCACCTACTCATTCTTTCAGAAAATGAACCGAAAAGGCTTCATTTTAGCTGGAAATTCTGAGTGTTTCTTCGCAAGAGAGTGCGCAAATTGTTTCGCTTTACCCCCACGAAGTGAAACAGCGTAAAGTTGCTATCACTATAAACTAACCTTTGTCTACTTTAAATATGATAGAATGACATGTGGCGTTTAACGTCCCAAAACCACCATGTGATTATGAGAGACGCCGTAGTAGAGGGCTCCGGAAATTTCGACCACCTGGGGTTCTTCAACGTGCACCCAAATCTGCGAACACGGGCATACAATATTTCCGCCTCCATTAGAAATGCAGCCGCCGCAGCCGGGATTCGATCCCGCGACCTCCGGGTGAGCAGCCGAGTACCTTAGCCACTAGAGCACAACGGCGGGGCTCTACTTTAAATGGAATTTGCCAGGCATTCCGTGATGATTGACTCCGTGATGATAAACCGTGCTACAATACTCGCCTTCAGCTGCAGTAGTTTAACCTTTGTACGTTTTTTTTTAAATTTTGTTCCTTTCATATACCATACCTGGATTACAAGCAGAAATATTGCACTATAGGGGGTTCGTGCAGTGCTGCCACACTGGATGTGCGGGCCTGTCTGTGTCAATGACTGGTGGACGGCGCGTCCTATGCCATTGATGAGGTTTGTGGCACGCGCTCCACTGTTGGCGTTTCATTTGATGCCGATGGTACTTTCATGTTCTGCCCCGCCGCGGTGGTCTAGTGGCTAAGGTACTCGGCTGCTGACCCGCATGGCGCGGGTTCAAATCCCGGCTGCGGCGGCTGCATTTCCGATGGAGGCGGAAATGTTGTAGGCCCGTGTGCTCAGATTTGGGTGCACGTTAAAGAACCCCAGGTGGTCTAAATTACCGGAGCCCTCCACTACGGCGTCTCTCATAATCATATAGTGGTTTTGGGACGTTAAACCCCACATATCAATCAATTACTTTCATGTTCTGGTAAAGCATCAGGGTGATGCCTTTTTCAGAGGAAGGCAATGCCACGTTCCTTGTTCGTGTTTTGTTATCGTCCCGTTCCACTGTACGTAATTATCAGCGCAACCCACGCCTGCAGAGTCAAGAAGCTTCCGAACTGTAGTAGATAATTTCGTTAAGATTACGCCCATTTCGCGAGATTATTCTTGAACGTAGGTGGCTGCTAGCGATAACCATAGAATATTCGACAGCACGTGTATAAATCCAAACGTGCCTCACCACTTCTCAGCTGATCAACGGCCGACGCCGTGTTCGCCACTCTGGGTCTATGCCACCAAGATAATTTCCGGCCTGTTCACTCTTTCTGTGGTGGGCTTTGACGTGTCACTCCAAGATACCGGCCTGTTTCGCAGCACAGACGTGCTTACGCTTGCTCTCGTCGCTCGACAGACATGAATTGCCAAGCCTGGCGAACATTTTCAGGGCGTGCTGGTGTACTTGTTGATGTCTCGAGAAGACTGTGTTTTTCTGTGTCCCTTAACTTAAGCGTGGGTATGTGATGCACTTTGCGCACTTTGTATTCGCAATCTGTACGGCTGCAAATCCGAATGCTTGGGCGATGCTGCGTGGAGAATTGTCGGGACAGAGGGACCGAAGTTGCGAGAGTTCTCGTTTTCTAAGGACAATGAACAAAATGGAGGCGTGTCGATCGTCAAGCTGACGTCGCCATCCATTTTCTTCATGACCCGAAGGTACGTGTGTCCGTACTACATAATTCCAAATCGTTTTAATGGCACCATCTCCACCATATTTCGTTCTTGCCTTAAAATAAAGGTGTCATGTGCGCCTCTGAGTTGTTGGCGTAAACCCTGGTATAAAAATAATAAACGCGCGTGGAAGTAAGTTTTCTTAACAGGCTTTTCATCTTCAAGGTCGTTAAACATTTGCTATGGCGATTAGCGTCATGGACTTTTATTACCTGATATATTTGATTGATGTGTGGGGTCTAACGCCCCAAAACAATAGAAAATGCACCCGCTGCAGGCTGAATTTCATCCCGCGACCTGCGGGTCAGCAACCGAGTACCTTGGACACTATATCACCACGGCAGGGACATGTTACTTGTGTTTACTTGGTTAAGAAAAATCGAAGGAATACTATTGGATTGCTTGGTATATCGGTTTGTGTCTAGTATTTTCTCTCGGGGGTTCCTACCACTTTATAGTGGTATTAAAATTCGCACCTGTCTCGTCAGTACTTTAGCCTAATATTTTTTTTGAAATTTATATGCGTGTAGACGCTTCATGTACACTGCTTTTTTTAGTGGTTTTCAGGTGTGAGAGCTCTGCTTCAAGCAAGACTATTAAGTACCACCATCACATATACCGATACAGGAACCCACAGTGCAGTAGAAGTGCCCTCGGGGACTTCAATCTAGACCTAATACTAACAGTAGTATTCTTCTAGGTGGCATTGTGTCAGTGCCAGTGTGTATCTCTGTGATCTTACTTTTCGTTGATTGGGCACAAGTGCAGCCGAAAAAATTTTGATATTCGAACTAGTCTGCTTCCTTCGTCGACGTCACAGCCCCGCGTCAATATTTCGTAGTCAGCGTCCAGGTGGCAGCTATCGAGCACACCGACATTGATATATGCTTCATGAATCCTGACATGAAGTCCATCGGAAATAACTCGTATATTGTAGGGAAGAGCGGGGGGGAAAGAACTTCGTTCAAATGGCAACGTTATTTCACATTCTGCGTCACATCAAGTTTTGTGATTGTGGCTCAGAACCACCGGCGAGTTCAAGAACCCTTTCTTGGACGAATACACGGGGGGGGCCATGTGTGCTTTTACCGCAGCTCTTGGTTCAGAAGTAGAGGAGCACTACGAAAAAGACGTAAAGCATGTACCTTCTGCCTTATCTCAATGAGTAACGCAATATGAATAAACGAAATTGGTCTTGGCTCCAAGGTAGCTCCACCGAATTTTCACCGCATGTATTTATTACCGAAGCGAAAGCGCGATAGTACTGGACCCCAGCGTTTCCTCTACGATTCGGGAGCCGGTGCCTGCCGGTGGTAGTGGCGCATGGCGTGCTTGACGCTCTGCACAAGAGGGAAGTGCCTCTCGGAACAGATGCCGCGGACGTCGTCCTTGTCTACCTGTATCAGCATGACGCAGAAGTCCGGGTATTTGCGCATGGCTAGCTGCACCTGCAATGAAGCATGGATCTATCAGCAGTACGTCTCGAACAATAAACAACTGCATTCACTATGCGGAGATGTTTTGCAGATTGGCGACAAACTCGTACTAAGAGTACCCACTTGTGATATAAGCGCGTGAAACGCCTGTATACTGAGGCAAGTAGGGCCACGCTAGTTGTTCGTTATACACGTCACTTATCACCATGTATCACGCTTTTTATTGACAACAATCTGGCAAACAAGCAAACCAGTCTACTGCAAGAAACAATCCGGAATCACAGATTAAAAAGTCTACATATTTGCAGTGTATCATCTACCACGGTGGTCTAGTGAGTATGGTGCTCGATTACTGACCCGCAGGTCATGGCATTGAATATTGGCCAAGAATGTGGCATTTTCGATGGAGGCTGAAAATGCTTGAGGCTCATGTACCTGAATTTTAGGTGCAAGCTAATGAACCTCGGGTGGCCCAGTATTCCACAGCCCTCGACAACGGCGTCTCTCATGGTCATATCTTGGCTTTGGGATGTTACACCTTAACAATTCTTATTATGAGTTAGTTTAGTTGACCTCCCGTGCGAGATGTGTGCGGCTAAGCTTTTTCATTATAAAACAGCTTTTCCGCGATTCAAAGTGCGTGAACTCCTTCGTTACAGCCTACCTCTTTGCAGACTAGTTGGTCGATACTGAAATCTAGACATGCTTCGCAAGCACAAAAAAGAAGGAAGACGTGATACAACAAAGACTGAACTGGGTTCATATGATTCGCGTTCCACTGAAGACTAGTGGGTGCTGTACTTGAGTTCATCTGGGGTGAAGAGGAGTGTGCTCTATTCATCTCCCTTTCTTAAAATGATAGCTTCGCCAAGGTGGTCAAGGCTATAGCGAGGCTCACAATATATAACACAGAACATATGGCAAGCCTTGTCGTACAGACTTTTCTGTAGTAGCGTCATCGTCGTTAAATTGTTCCTGTGTATTTGAAGTTGCAACGTTGGCTTTTGATTGCCACTTTGACTAGAACTATCACGCTATAAACAATCCACCTGATCACCGGTGCGATAATGCTGTCGTTGCTTTTTAAATTTTATACGAATATGGTTGGGGAGTGGGAAGGGCCTATTGGCCACAGAAGCTAAGACGGATGCACACAACGTAATTCAGAGTATTACGGTGCACTCCCTAAAGAACTTCAATTCGCATCTGCGACAAGTGGCAACATACCAGTTGCCCGTAAGTAGTTAACATCATTATCATAAGCGTTCACAGATTCTTTCAAAGGGCAGGGGAATGAACTTTTACCTCAGCACTATTCCTCCCTCACCTCTCGGCCCGTTGACTCCGCAAGAGAACATGCTTCGTAATAGATGTCAAACACAAAGTGAGGCGATGACGGGCTTCTCACAGTGGTCATATTTTAGGAACAAAGCTCCTTAAGGCGTGGGTCGTTCGTCTCCTGTGTGTAGTAGCCACCTCTCGTTTTAGCCCTTGGAATGTCCGCTGGACGGCAGTACTTGTATATGATCAATATATGAGGAAAGACGCCAGACGGCGGCCTTGGAGTGTTCACCAGATAGACGGACGGATAGGGAGAGACATGTGGGCAGACGGACAAGCGGACAGACGTATGGACAGACAGACAGACAGAAAGAAAGACGGACAAACATACGACCGGATGGACGGACATACAGACAGATGGACATGCGGACAGACAGACAGACCAACCAGCACAGAGACGTATAGACAGACGGACAAACGAATGTACATACGAACAGACAGACGTAAGACGGACGGACGTGGCCAGCAGGATGCTTCACGGTTTACCTACATAACCCTTGAAGCTTCGCCCAACTCATTATTCACTCCATGGATATGCTGTTATTTTTTCTTTCTGTTCATGGGATTAAGGTGGAAGGTAAACATTCCATGAAGGTAGAAGGGAGCTCGGCCGTCGTTATTGTCAGTGGCCCACGAGGCGAACACCCCGCACTGAAAAACCATTACTGGACAGGTTTAATCAAAGTACAAGGCACCACACTGAACATAGCGCAAATAGACGACGGGACTGTAGCTAACGCTCGTCCTGTCACCTTCTTGCCCTTTATTCAGTGCTTCTGCTTAAGCGATTACCGAAACAACTCGATTGGGCCTAATCCTACCCCTACGGGGAGTGGACAAGTCTGACGCAGTAAATCCATAGGGCAGTTTTGGCACCTAATTTAAATAGGATAATAGAAGAAGGGCTCCCCCTCTCACCTTCTTTTGACCTCTATGAACTTTCGCTGAGTAAAGGTTTATTACATACGTGATCGAATGTTGCATATGCATGCTTCCCCTGACAAGTGATTGTGATGCTACAAAAGTCCCTCGTTGCATTCTTACACTGCCCGCACACAACCACACCCTGGAACCATATATATTCTAAATTCACATATACTTCTAAATTGACATATAAGCCCAAAAAAGTGGATGGAGGGAAGGCTGCTGTGGTAGCTCAGTGGTTAGAGCATCGAACGCGTTATTCGAAGGGCGTAGGTTCGATTCCTGCTCACGGCTGGTTATTTCTTCATCCACTTTTCTTTCTTCTTATTTACATTCAATTGGTTCTAGTAACTTCCCCTGTACATTTCTTGGCATTACTGTCTGTTAGATCTCATTAATATTGTGTTAAAACACGGAAAAACGAGCCCTTAGGTATAAGGTATACACTTCTTTCCCCTATATATATATATATATATATATATATATATATATATATAGAGAGAGAGAGAGAGAGAGAGAAAGAGACACAACATAGCGGTTGTCTTAATTTTATTTCCAATGGTTTCGACCGGTGAACCAGTCTTCTTCAAGGTTTGTGAAGACTGGTTCACCGGTCGAAACTGCTCGAAATAAAAATAAGACAGCCGCTAAGTTGTCTCTATTCTCTTCCCAAGTACGTTTAGCCCATTGGATAAACTTATTCGGTAACCATGGACACTGGGCGGTGCCGGTGTGGCTGGTGACATATGGCTACTAATAGACTGCAGCGGCACATCTTCGACAAGGGCATGGAACCGGCGACATGGCAGTGCCCATAATCTCGTTCTTGCTGCTCACGCAGGTTGGTTGCTCACATCACATTTGTGGTTTGTGTCATTTTGTTGCGGTGGTTCCACCCCAGTGTTCTTTGCCATTGAAGCTGCTCGCATCGTGAGATCTCGCGCAGAGTGATCCGCAGACGGCAGTTATTGATGTTCCGGAGCACAGCCTTTTATTCGTTAATCTTGTTATCGTGCAGGGGCGACGTCTAGCAATACCCAGGGCCTTCAAATACACAGATGGAGCGCTTACTTGAAGGACAGGCTGCAATTATTTGCGAATTGTCAGCAATTGAGGAAAACCAAAAACAAACCAATGCTGATATAACTGACTTGAAAACACGCTTGGCTTCGTTAGAAGAAAAATGTCCCGAACCTAGACAAATTACGAATATCAGTAGGTAACATAAAGAAAAAACAGAAAAAGGAGCAAGATGTAATGTTCTTTGTTCTCCGGAAGGAACAAAACCTTGAAAATTAGCCAAGGCGTGAGAATTTGCTCTTCTACGGGATAGAGGACTCACTGGCCGGCGAGACTAATGCTCAGGCTGAGGAGCTAATCCATAATCTGTGCCGCCCCACCGTGGTGGCTAAGTTACTCGGCTGCTGACCCGCAGGTTGCGGGTTCAAACCCCGGCTGCGGTGGCTGCATTTCCGATGGAGGAGGAAATGTTGTAGGCCCGTGTGCTCAGATTTGTGTGCACGTTAAAGAACCCCAGGTGGTCGAAATTTCCGGAGCCCTCTGCTACGGCGTCTCTCATAATCGTATGGTGGTTTTGGGACGTTAAACACCACATATCAATCAATCAATCAATCAATCATCTTTTGTGCCGCACGAAACTTGGGCTCACTTCTGTGAACATAGTGCGTGCCCATAGAATAGCGCCATACAATGCCAATAAAACACGACCAGAAGTAGTCAGGTTTGCTTCCTTTAAAACGCGTCAGCAGGTCTTGATGAAAGCGTATAACTTAAGCGAGACTGCATACGGCATATCTGAAGATTATTCACGCACAGTTCGTGAAAGACGCTTTGGGCATTCGGAAAAAATAATAGGAAGGAAGGCGAGAAATCCGTTTTGATACCCTATATCTGGATGATAAGCGATATCGGATTGACAGCACTACAGGTGACGTAATTCAAATGTGACCACTGTAGCAATCTTCTGTGACGCATCAACTAAGGCTACTCATTGGCAATCTCAGAAGTCTTAAATATAAGGTTGATGACTTTCATCCTCTGCTAAGTTCTGTTCAGCCTGCAGTAGTATTAGGCCTTGAATCATGGCTCGATGCCACTATCCTTGACAGAGAATTGTTCCCCGTTGGTTATCACTGTTTTAGGTGGAATCGTGAATCCAGGGGTGGTGGTGCATTTATTTTTGTACGATCAGACTTGCCTTGTGTTTGAGTCGATTGTGCTTTGGAATGTGAATCTGTATTTTGCAAGTTGCGGGCTTCATAACGGTCAATGCTTTCTCATTGGTTCTTATTATCGACCACCTGGTGCCTCTTGTCAGCAGTTTGCTCAATTGACTGACTTGTTGAGACTGTTCAGGTGTCATTACAATATACTGGGACGTCATTTTAACCTTCCCGGTTTCGATTGGGGGTCAAATAATTGTCTGGCAGGTGGCACAACAGGTGGTTTATACAAAGCCTTCTTTGAATTTATGCACGAATACAGTCTGCATCAGTTGGCTAGAGATGCTTCGCCTAATGATGGCACTGGTAACGTGCTTCATTTGTTACTTTGTGATGCACCGAACATTATTTTAGACATATGTGCTTTGCCCGGCATAAGTGATCATAAGGTTATTGTAGCGGACGCTACATTTTGAAATGTGTGTGTATCAAAAAAAAAACGCCCCTAGAACAGTGTATACATATAACAGGGCTAACTACGTTGCACTAAATCTAGCTCTTGAA